TGCACCCATGTGGAGAGGTGGCACCTCATGACCAGAGATTTCCACATCAGTTGCCTGTCACAAATTACACTGCCTACTGCAAGGAATAAGGTCAGTACCCCATTGATTTAAGTACAGTAGAACCTCAAATTTCGAACGTATTGCTTATCGAACTCTTCGAAAATAGAACCCTTTTTTCGAACCAACTTTGTCCCTATTATCGAACTCGCCCCTATTTTCGAATCGCCGGGTACCGGACCTGTCCGGCAGCCCGCTCTGTCTGCGTCCCCATGCAGGCGCTGTGAGCCAGTCTGGTTTTGTTGATGCTTGAGTGAACACTAACCTGAGCTCTCATTCAAACATTTTAAGATTATTTCATTGTGTTTAGCGCTTGTGGGACTGTGAAATAAGCTACAATGGGCCCAAAGAAACTTGCTAGTGTTACCGCTGTGGTAAAGAAAGTGAGAAACACCATAGATGTGAAGAAGGAAATAATACAGAAGTGGAATGATGTCCAAGTGCAATGATGTCCAAATATTTATGGAGAAGTACCACCCTGAGCAAGGTGAAACAAGCCATCTTTGCAACAAGTTCAGTGACAGAACCACGTCCAATTTTAGGGAAATCTTAAAGAGGCACCAGAAACAGAGGACTGTGGACAGTTATTTTGTGAGACAGGGGTCCAGTGACTCTCAAGCTGGTCCTAGTGGCATTAAAAGACAGAGAAGGGAAGTAACCCCAGAGAGGGCTTTGATACCTGAAGTCCTCATGGAGGGGGATTTTCCTTCCAAACACTAGCCCCAACTCCCTCTCTCTCCTCCCTATCTTCCAGATGCCATCACCAATCTTCAATAAGGTGAGTAAAAATGTATTATATGTTTATTTAAATTTTTAATACATAATTGAACTAAGGTAGTGGTTGGTAAAGCAACGCCAGGGAGGTACTACCGTCCTGCAAGTGATTTAAAACGAAAGCCTGTAATTGTTTTACTGATGGTAGGATTGCTGGTGTCCTTTGTTTGTTCATTGAAATGCAAGATTAGGTACTTGTATTACTTACCTAGGTCATAACATACTGTACACTAATTACAACCCTTGGGTTTTCTATTTTCTTTGTGCTGGAATGAACAGAATTCTTCCTCCGTAAGCCATGTGTTGTAGGGCAACTAAAATGGGAGAAGGGGATAGTATATTTTATTGTTATTACTAATGTAAAAAAAATTTCTCCTTTACTCGGGATATTTAAAAAATTGAACACTATATTTGTTGTGTGTATGTAAAACTATAATTAATCTCTATAAAATGTATTTTTTTGTGTGAATATTTTTGTGTTTCTGGAACGGATTAATTTTATTTCCATTATTTCTTATGGGAAATATTGCTTCGCTTTTCAGACTTTTCGAATTTAGAACTAACTCCTGGAATGGATTAAGTTTGATATTTGAGGTTCCACTGTACCTCCTGAAGTGGTGCAGGAAGTGAGTGGTCTGAAATGGTCTGAAATGAGGGACCACTAACCCAACTCGCCTATGATCCCACAAACAATGCCTGATTCCCCCAGCAAGCATAATACAGGAGAGGCCTGGAGACATGACTAATGAACAGAGGAAATGTTATTTTAGTGCCACGAATGTCTGCAATGTTTATTCTGGACCCTATTTTGTAACTGACATTTCTTGAATTTTGTGTGAAATTTGCCAAATTACCAATTTCTGATCACTTTATTGGGTAGTTTAAATAGCTGAATGGGTAGATTCTTGTACTCAGTTGATAGAATGGAAGACATACTAGCAAAATAGCCAACAATGGAACTGGCCTATAATAGGACTCCAACTGGATGAAATTGCCAATGTGTAAATATCGCTGACACAGCAAAATTTGTGAAAAGGTAATTTCATCAGTTTAAATAAAATTTTGTACTTTTTGTCTTATTACTTTCAGAAAATTCTCTACCATTTCATGAGAATTTTTTTTTTTTTTAAATTTTTCGACTCTGAGAGCAAGGGTTGGACCCTGAAAGGGTTAAGAATACTACAGCAGATGTGTTTTGACTGAAATGGAAATCATGAAAGGTATCCCCTGTATGTCACAAACTCTGCTCTGCCCTGTACTACTATGCACACAAGTGACTTCCACATTGTGAGGAAGAAGTTTTATACACAGTTAAAAATCACTGTTGGAGATCTGAGGGTGATCATCATACATAACTCAGTGTTGGATACAAACTGTAAATAAGACTATTTCTACTAAAACAATAATAATCTTGACCAAGGAACACAAACATGTTTTCTTTCTTACAGCTACATTTCAAACAAAAAACTTGCATGGTTCTGTGGTTTTGAACATTTAGTGAACAAAATTGATGCTCAGAATGCCAGAAATATTGCTGACAACCCTGATGACCCTCAACCATCCACTTCTCAGGCTGGTCCATCTGGAACACATGCAGCTTTACAACGCTCTAAGTTTACTTAGGTATGGGAACACGAACACAATTATCATACATAGTGTAAATTACCCAGAATAACCCCAAAAAGTCACATATTCTGACTTTTTGGATTATCCTAGGTAATTTATGCTTTGTATGATAATTGCACTTATATGTACCTGCACCTATATAAACTTTCTTACATACAGACTTGTGTACAGTGTTGTAAAGCTAGACATGTTCCAGACTGACCAGCCCGGGAAGTGAATGGTTGAGAATCATCGGGGTTTTCAGCAATATTTCCAGCATCTTGAGCATTATTTTCAGTGAGTAAATATTGAAAACATAGAAATAATCATCATTTCCTTATTCTTCATTGTTAGAATTATCACTTGGGAAGAGAAGATTCCCAGTTCACCTGGAAATGAGGTTTTACTGACCATTGAGCATGGTAAACAGAGGGTATGCAATATGGTGGTGCTACGTTGCAATGCAGGTACCACAATTTTTTTTTTATACACACACTGACCACACAGATCCATTCTCTTATATGAAGGCATACCAGCCCATTGCACTAAATTTGAAGCTGCTGGAATTTATGAGAAGTACCCAGGATGCAACTCACACCAGTTGACTAACACTCAAATACCTACTTACTGCTAGGTGAGCAAGGTGGTGCCATGGATCGAACCACAGACACTCAGGGAAATTATCAAGAGTCAGGAGAATCTTGAATGTGCAGTTCTTGTGGCACAGACAAAACAGACTAGGAATAAAATGATGCTTAAACCAGTTAACAAATAATTCCTCTATCATCCATGCTGATTGGTCTGACCATCAGATAGCAGACAAAGTGATTCTTCTTCTTTTATGGCAAAAGGATTCTTTGAGCAATAAACAAGCATGGATCTGCACTTGCAGTCACCAGTTGCATTAACCCTTTCAGAGACGAGAGGCCCTCTCCTAAACTTGTTCTCAGGGTCAAAAAATTTCCGGGAAAAAAAAAAAAAAAATCTTATGAAATGATAGAGAATCTTTTCCCGATCATAATGACACCAAAAGTATGAAACTTAATGGAAATCTTACGGAATTATGCTCTTGCAAAGTTAGCAGTCTCGCCAATGTTTATGCATTGGTGATTTGGCCCAATTTGAGCCCTATTTTCGGCCAATTCCTGTGTACTAGTCGACAAAAATTATATTTATTTCGCTAGAACTCCATTTTTTCTATCGAATGAGTACAAGAAACCACCCATTTACCAATTTCAACTATCCAATAAAGTGGTTCACACAAATTTCAGAAGATGCCAATTTCCAAATAGGGTCCAGAATAAACAAGACAGACATTCCTGGCACTAAAATAACAAGTTCTTTGTTTGTTAGTCACTTCCCCAGACCCCTCTTATATTTCTTTTGCTTTCCACTTTCAATTTTTATTCCTACAAAAAATAGAAGATTTACTGTTATGCAGACTACTGCATTAGTGTAAAAATGGTATAAATAACATCAGCGCACTTGTGAAAGAATATCGGACTCACCAGTTGACGTGTATTGGACGCTTCGCATGATTTATTTACTTTTCAACTTTGGCAAATATTGAACATTTCTGCTAATTTGAGCTCAATTTCAAGGTACTTTTCATTGTGAAACCAATCAAAATCATCTCAATTTCTGTAATATGTCTTCCATTCTATAAAATGAGACCAGGAAAACTATAATACAACCATAAATACCATACGAAAATACAGTGCAAAGTTGCTGTTTTAATCCAAAAACACGGTCAAAGTTTTTTTTTCTCATTACACACTGTGTGCTGCAGGATTTTTTTTTATACTGTGCACACTGACCACATAGACCCATTCTTTCATATGTAGGCCTACCAGCTTTCTTTCACTAGATTTGAATGCGCTAGAATTTAGGCGTTCTAGTACGTCAATAACCCTGGTGCGTAAGCCGTACTAGCACGTCAAAAACCCTGAAAGGGTTAATGCACAGCAGCAAACTGAAATGGCCCTTTGTTGGCTTGAAGTCAGCAGCATTTTTTCCTTGCTTGCTGATGTAAGATTCCTGTCTCATCAGCTTGTTAAGGTACAGTCACTCTTGGAAATCATTTCCTGTGGCTCAGCAGAAAAATTCTCTGCTGCAAAGGCTGGCCATGTCTCAGCTCAAGATGGAAATGAGTAGAGCTGCTGCAAAAGGTGGAAAAAAATATATACAAAAAAGGTGATCTACTGTATATCCAAGTATACATCTCTTGGTACATACATTGACAATTCTTGGAAGTAACCCTGGTGGTTCAAGGTTTGCCACCATAGACATGTTCCTGATAGAATCAAGAGCTTCAACAACATCAAGAACCACCTTGAAAGGTCAGTTGTTCTCTTGTAACACAGTACTCCTTCCACTAACTTTTAAGATATTGTTTTCTCATTTATTTCTATTTTCCAAGAATTTTACAAGCTCACTTTTTGTTTTAACTGATCCATTAAAAACTCAAGTGTAGAAGTCACAATATTAACTATCAAAAAAATTCTATACAATATGAAAGCAAATAAAAGTTTTATAAAAATTTAAAATTAAAGTCAAAAACTTACTTGCTAACACCTTTTTTGCCAAAAGTGCGTGTTCGAGACACTTCAGGTCTAATACAGGCTCTATCTGCCCGCTGCTCTGGGGCACGTACCCAGTCATCCCAGTAGGAACGTGGCCATTTAGGTCCAAGTTCGTCCCATAACTCCTTGGTCATCATCCAGCCAAGCCCCGGGAAGAAGTCCGTTCGATACAAAATGGTACTTCCATTCTTCACGTCTACCAAATTTGCTTTACCTGTTTTGAAACAAAAAAATACTAAAATTTGTAGATCTGAGAATAAAACATGTAACAGAAACAGAAATTTACAAAAGAAAACTAGACTATATCCTGCAACAACTGTTGAACCAGCCAAGTTGTGATGGCTATATAGGTTGGTAGGTTGCTGGCAGCAACAGTCTGGCTGACCAGACAGGTGTATTATTATTATAATCATAACTAAGTGCTAAACCCGGGTCTTAGTCAAAGATGTAACATGGAATAAATGTTATTTGCAATACTTTTACCAGTAAAAATGTTGATCTATGTTTTACTGCTAACACTCTGAATATTTTGATTTTTTAAACAAAGAGGGTAATTTTCTGTGTATAATAAGACCATAAAAAAATCTGTAGCACCAGTACTTATCGAGATATAAGGCGGCAAAGTTGGCACTAGATGCTCATGTGATGGCAACATGGAGTCCTGCCATGTGGGAAAATGCTGTCAATATAACTTTCTTCTCTCTTTTTTAATTATGTAGTTTTTATGTTCTGATAACTATAATTTATGGTATATCTTGTAATATCATAGCCAATTTTTGTTCTTGCACAAATATTAGGTATGGATATAGTTATTAAGTCACAAAGACATTGACAGGTGAATATGTTCACCTGCCTCGGTCACCTATTATTGTCTAGAAATGTTTTTTTTTTTAACACGTCAGCCATCTCCCACCAAGGCAGGGTGACCCAAAAAAGAAACACTCACCATCATTCATACATAATCACTGTTTTTGTAGAGGTGCCCAGATACAACAGTTCAGATGCCACTCCAAACAGCCACTATCCCAAACTCCTCCTTAGAAGTGCAGGCACTGTACTTCCCACTTCCGGGACTCAAGTCCAGCTAACAGGTTTCCCTGAATCCCTTCACAAAATATTACCCTGCTTACACTCCAACAGCTCGTCAAGTCCCAGAAACCATTTATCTCTATTCACTCCTATCTAACATGCTCACACATGCCTGCTGTATGTCCAGGTCCCTTCCACACAAAACCTCTTTTACCCCCTCCTGCCATGCTTTTCTAGGACAACTCCTACCCCCCCACTATAGCTTTATACACCCTCCAAGTCATCCTAATTTGCTCCATCCTCTCTATTATTTATAGGTCCCAGCAATGTTTTTAGAAGTGCTGGAGTATATGAAACTTCTTAAAGCACAAGTGTCCGACAGAGTGGCACTCTAAATTGCAGATGGTGCACTCATTCAACATTACTGCATGATGAGCACTGCCCTCAGTGAACCTTGGCATGTTTCTATTTGTTCTCACTGTTTCACACACAAGCATGACTGTCTGTCTCCGTCTCTCTGTTCCTGCATTTATCTCTGTCTCTTTGTCTGTCTGTCTGTCTGTCTGTCTGTCTGTCTGTCTGTCTGTCTGTCTGTCTGTCTGTCTGTCTGTCTGTCTGTCTGTCTGTCTGTCTGTCTGTCTGTCTGCCTGCCTGCCTCTCTCTCTCTCTCTCTCTCTGTGTGTGTGTTTGTCTGCCTGTCTCTCTGCCTCAGAGAGAGCCATTCACGAACCTGATCATAAGCCAGCCAAACAGGCATTACACATATTGCAAAACTGTCATGTCTGAACAAGTTGAAAGATACAACTGTGGCTGAAATGTGTATTGCCACAGTAATGCTAATTTATGCCTTGTACCTACAAGCACAGTACAGCACTTTGTCTGGCTTTTGTTTTGGGTTAACCTAGGTAATTTACACTATGTATGATAACTCTACTTTTGTGTATCTGTGCCTAAATAAACTTAGTCCTTGATTCTATTCAAGGCACAGCTGTTATTCAAGCAATTATGTTTGCTTGAAATATATTTCTTGAAGGACAGGCATCCCTTGAACAGAATCAAGGACTAAGTTTATTTAGGCAGAGGCACACATAAGTACAGTTATCATACACAGTGTCAATTACCTAGGATAACTCAAAATGCCAGACAAAGTGCTATACTGTGCTGGTAGATGTAAGGCATAAGCATGACTGTGGCAAGTAATACTCATTTTGGCCACAGTTGTATCTTTCCACTTGTGCAGATGTGATGATTCTGAAACTTGTGTAATACCTGTTTGAAAGTCTAGCTGACTATCAGGCTCATAAGTGGCTCTCTCTCTGAGACAGTGATATAGCTGGCTAGCTCTAGCCAGCTAAAGCAAGCCAGTCAAAGTCAGTCAGTCAGCCAGCCAACCAACTAGCCAGCCAGCCAACCAACTACCCAGCCAGCCAGCCAAATGACAGCCAAAAACATATTACACATGCTGCAGGATCACTTCTCTTTATTTAAAGCACAGGTTATAGGACATTCCGGCAGGATGACACTACCAGTGGTATCAAAATTGAAGGATGTGGCACAAAAGTTGCACATGGGTTATTATCAAAGTTTTTTATATTTCCTTGACCACTTGTGGCCACAACCATTTCACAGCCACTAAACTCAGGGTCAACATCACTTTCCCTGAAAAATGAGAGCTCACATGACATGGCATTAGTGAATCACAGGGGACTGCCACTCTGTTTGATCTAGCTGGCACTCAATTGAACTGGTGCTCCCCCAAGGTACTAAGTGGTCCCAGATTTTTTTAAATACTGCATACAATGAGTGTTGAGACCCATTCTATACTGCCTAGGCCTATCAGGCCTCTAGTGCCAAATCTTCAGGCAAGAAAAACAGTGAAATGATCGACATCATGAGCGCCAGCAGTAAAATGTAGATCAACGCTTTGACAGTTAAAGGATTAAAAGCACACATGATGGATCACTTAACAAGCCTAGCTACTAGAATAAGTTTAGTATCTTACCATTATCATTCCAGGCTGACACACACCACAGTGTCGGGTCAGACTGAAGTACAGGATAAGTGGCAGAGAAATACTCAAAGAAATCTGGTGCAACATCCAGATCATCTGGAATATAAAGTACCCACATTAGATAACACTCAACAAATTGTCACTTATTATTTAGGTAACTTGAATGATGTAAAATTTTACTCATTCATGGTTCAGTCAACATAGAAATAAGTGAGCAGCTTGTTAGGTATGTACTTACAAAAAAATACACAAAGAAAAAGACTAAACAAAGTAATTATTGTAAAACAATATATTGCACAATGGTTATGTACTCTGTCTTCCCTAGCTTTATTATCCACACATACTAATATTTTTATATTCTCTGGAATATTATCATCATTTTATATTTTTAACAAATTGGCTGCTTCTCACCAAGGCAGGGCAATAGAAAAAACAATATGGATACACATTCATTATTCAATTCCTAGCTATCTTTCTAAGACTATGGGCATAATTCAACTGGCCCCATGCAGTAAACCACATGGAACAACAACTTCGTATACAAGAAAAATGTCAGCAGTTCAAAAAACAACATTTTAAAACTATACACTAGTGGTACATGTTAACAAAACTTGATAATGATGCATGTGACTTACAAAATAAGACAGACTGTAGATACAGTGCTACAAATACTCCTGTAATGCCAGAAATTTTTTTTTTTCTAACCATTTTTTTAACACATTGGCCATCTCCCACTGAGGGAGGGTGGCCCAAAAACAAAACACTTCCACCATCATTCACACTATCACTGTCTTGCAAGAGGTGCACAGATTGGCACTGTACTTGCCACTTCCAGGACTCAAGTCCTCACAGGTTCTGCTACAGTAAATACTGCAACTAAGCATCACATGAGATGAACCATACACTACTGCCACATTATCATTTGCATTCACACACACACACACACACACACACACACACACACACACACACATGAATGCACACAGAGAAGTAGGTAAAGAGGGGTGTTGGGAAGGGGAGGGGTTATGTACTCACCTAGTTGTGGTTGTGGGGGTCGAGTCACAGCTCCTGTGTATGCATGTGATTGCGTATGGGTGTGTGGATGCATGCGTGCATACATGTGCATGTGTACAATCGCCTCACCTAATTGTGGTTGCAGGGGTCGAGACTCAGCTCCTGGGCCCACCTCTTCGCTGATCACTACTGGGTCCTCTCTCTCTCTCTCCGCTCCCTGAGCTTTGTCATACTTCGTCTTCAAGCTATGTATGGTTCCTGCCTCCACTACATTGCTTGCTAGACTATTCCACTTCCTGACAGCTCTACGACTGAAGAAATACTTCCTAACATCCCTGTGACTCGTCTGAGTCTTCAGCTTCCAAGTGTGACCCCTCGTTTGTGTGTCCCCACTCTGGAATGTCCTGTCTCTGTCCACCTTATCTATTCCACGCAGTATTTTGTATGTCGTGTGCATGCGTGCGTGCATGAATGCATGCATGCATACATGCGTGTGTGTGTGTGTGTGTACTCACCTAATTGTGGTTGCAGGGGTCGAGACTCAGCTCCTGGCCCCGTGTGTGTGTGTGTACTCACCTAATTGTACTCACCTAATTGTGGTTGCAGGGGTCGAGACTCAGCTCCTGGCCCCGCCTCTTCACTGATCGCTACTGGATCCTCTCTCTCTCTGCTTCCTGAGCTGTCATACCTCTTCTTAAAACTATGTATGGTTCCTGCCTCCACTACTTCACTTGCTAGGCTATTCCACTTGCTGACAACTCTATGACTGAAGAAATACTTCCTAACGTCCCTGTGACTCGTCTGAGTCTTCAGCTTCCAGTTGTGACCCCTTGTCCCTGTGTCCCTTCTCTGGAACATCCTATCTCTGTCCACCTTGTCTATTCCCCGCAGTATCTTGTATGTCGTTATCATGTCTCCCCTGACCCTTCTGTCCTCCAGTGTCGTCAGTCCGATTTCCCTTAACCTTTCCTCGTACGACATTCCCTTGAGCTCTGGGACTAGCCTTGTTGCAAACCTTTGTACTTTCTCTAACTTCTTGACGTGCTTGACCAGGTGTGGGTTCCAGACTGGTGCTGCATACTCCAGTATGGGCCTAACATACACAGTGTACAGTGTCTTGAACGATTCCTTATTAAGATATCGGAACGCTATTCTCAGGTTTGCCAGGCGCCCGTATGCTGCAGCGGTTATTTGGTTGATGTGTGCCTCCGGTGATGTGCTCGGTGTTATGGTCACCCCAAGGTCTTTCTCCCTGAGTGAGGTCTGTAGTCTTTGTCCACCTAGCCTATACTCTGTCTACGGTCTTCTTTGCCCCTCCCCAATCTTCATGACTTTGCATTTGGCTGGATTGAATTCGAGAAGCCAGTTACTGGACCACATGTACAGCCTCTCCAGGTCTCTTTGCAGTCCTGCCTCATCCTCGTCCGATTTAATTCTTCTCATCAACTTCACGTCATCTGCTAACAGGGACACTTCAGAGTCTATTCCTTCCATCATGTCGTTCACATATATCAAAAATAGCACTGGTCCTAGAACTGACCCCTGTGGGACCCCGCTCGTAAACAGGCGCCCACTGTGATACCTCTTCACGTACCATGACTCGTTGCTGCCTCCCTGTCAGGTATTCCCTTATCCATAGCAGTGCCCTTCCTTTTACGTGTGCTTGATCCTCCAGCTTCTGCACTAATCTCTTGTGGGGAACTGTGTCAAAGGCCTTCCTGCAGTCTAGGAAAACGCAATCTACCCAACCCTCTCTCTCGTGTCTTACTTCTGTTACCTTGTCATAAAACTCCAGGAGGTTTGTGATACAAGATTTGCCTTCCATGAACCCATGCTGGGTTTTTATTTATAATCTTGTTCCTTTCCAGGTGTTCGACCACTCTCCTCCTGATAATCTTCTCCATGACTTTGCACACAATACATGTCAGAGACACAGGTCTGTATGTGTATGTGTGTGTGTGTGTGTGTGTGTGTGTGTGTGTGTGTGTGTGTGTGTGTGTGTGTGTGTGTGTGTGTGTGTGTGTGTGTGTGTGTGTGTGTGTTTACGTACTTGCCTATTTGTGGTTGCAGGGGTCGAGTCATAGCTAGTGTGTGTGTGCGTGCATGTGCTCACATGAGTACAGTGGACCCCCGCTTAACGATCACCTCCAAATGCGACCAATTATGTAAGTGTATTTATGTAAGTGCGTTTGTACGTGTATGTTTGGGGGTCTGAAATGGACTAATCTACTTCACAATATTCCTTATGGGAAAAAATTCGGTCAGTACTGGCACCTGAACATACTACTGGAATGAAAAAAGTTCGTTAACCGGTGGTCCACTGTAGTATATGCATACACACACATGCATATGCATGTGTGTGTTTGAGGGTAGTACACTGTACTAGCTGTCAAAGGAGCTTGTTGATAGACACTTGACCTGTTGTGTGTCATGTGTGTGTGTGTGTGTGTGTGTGTGTGTGTGTGTGTGTGTGTGTGTGTGTGTGTGTGTGTGTGTGTGATGTGTGTGTGCGCGTGCGTGCATGCATGCGTGTACTCACCTAGTTGAGGTTGTAGGGGCTGAGTCATAGCTCCTGGCCCAGCCTCTTCACTGGCCACTAGTGGGTCACTCTCCCTGCACCATGGATCCTGTCTCCACTACATCGCTTCCCAAACTATTCCACTTTCTGACTACACTGTGACTGAAGAAATAATTCCTAACATCCCTGTGATTCATCTGTGTTTCAACTTCCAACTGTCCCCTCGTTGCTGTGTCCCATCTCTGGAGCATTCTGTCTGTCAACCTTGTCAATTCCTCTCAGTTTTTTATGTCGTTATCATGTCCCCTCTATCTCTCCTGTCCTCCAGTGACGTCAGGTTGATTTCCCTTAGCTCTCCTTGTAGGACATGCCCCTCAGCTCTGGGACTAGTCTTGTTGCAAACCTCTGCACTTTCTCTAGTTTCTTTACATGCTTGGCTAGGTGTGGGTTCCAAATTGGTGCTGCATACTCCAATATGGGCCTAAAGTACAGGGTACAGGGTCCTGAATGATTCCTTATTAAGATGGCAGAATGCTGTTCTTAGGTTTGCTAGGCACCCATATGCTGCAGCAGTTATTTGGTTGATGTGTGCATCAGGAGATGTGCCTGGTGTTATACTCACCCAAAGATCCTTTTCCTTGAGTGAGGTTTGTAGTCTCTGACCCCCCTAGACTGTACCCCATCTGCGGTCTTCTTTGCCCGTCCCCAATCTTCATGACTTTGCATTTGGTGGGGTTGAACTCCAGGAGCCAGTTGCTGGACCAGGCCTGCAGCCTGTCCAGATCCCTTTGTAGTTCTCCCTGGTCCTCGTCTGACTGAATTCTTCTCATCAACTTCACATCATCTGCAAACAGGGACACTTTGGAGTTTATTCCTTCCATCATGTCGTTCACAAATACCAGAAACAGCACTGGTCCTAAGACTGACCCCTGTGGCACCCTGTTTGTTACAGGCTCCCACTCTGACACCTTGCCACGTACCATGACTTGCTGTTGTCTTCTTGACAGGTATTCCCTGATCCATTGTAGTGCCTTCCCTGTTATACCTGCCTGGTCCTCCAGCTTTTGCACTAATCTCTTGTTTGGAACTGTGTCAAATGCCTTCTTAGTCCAAGCAGGGCAAACCTACTGATTATGGGCGACTTCAACCACAAGGAAATCGACTGGGAGAACCTGGAGCCACATGGGGGCCCAGAAATGTAGAGCGCTAAGATGATGGAGGTGGTACTGGAAAACCTCATGTACCAACATGTCAGGGACACTACCAGAGAGAGGAGAGGATGAACCAGCGAGACTGGACCTAGTATTCACCTTGAATAGTGCAGATATTGAGGACATCATATATGAAAGACCCCTCGGGGCCAGTGATCATGTGGTTTTGAGCTTCAAATATATAGTAGAGGTACAAGTGGAGAGGGAAGCAGGAAGGGCAGGACAAATGAAGCCAAACTACAAGAAAGGGGACTACGGAGGCATGAAGAATTTCCTGCACAGGGTTCAGTGGGACAGAGAACTGGCAGGGAAGTCAGTAAATGAGATGATGGGATATGTGACAACAATATGCA